CCCAAGAAAAGGTGGCGTGAAAAGATCTGTGTAGAAGGGATTGGAAAAATGGAGTCATATGGCTTCTTTTGATGGATGACTGGTGAACATGTGGTAAAGAGGCAAGGAGTGACAGGGATATACAAAGAAATATATTCATTGTCTCACAAACATGTAACTTATTGGCCCTGTCTTAAAGTCCTTTGTTGTTACTAAAATGTATATAATATAAATTGGGCCCTAACTGGTTTGGCTCAGTGGATAGAGCATCGCCCTGAGGACTGAAGGGTCCCAGGTTCGATTCCAATCAAGGGCATGTACCTTGGTTGCAGGCACATCCCCAGTAGGGGGTGTGCAGGAGGCAGCTGATCGATGTTTCTCTCTCATCGATGTTTCTAACTCTCTATCCCTCTCCCTTCCTCTTGTAAAAAATCAATAAAATATATTAAAATAAATAAATTGGTGAGTACCTTAAGGGCACAGATTATGTCTTCTTTGTCTCTGTACCTTAAACAAGTAGCACAGTGACATAAACAAGATGCAAGTTATAAATTGCTACAAGAATCAATGAATAGTTAAAATGAAATGAATCAAGCATGCTGAGTATTAATAGATGATTTTGTAGCTTCTCCGTAATAACTTTTAGTATGTAATGTTTAACATAGATTTGTTTGCAGTTAGAAAAACTCAGATAGTCACAAACATTCCTGAAAGATTGCCGAAATATTCTGTTTGTCTGCCAGCCATTTCTGGAACAGAGCCTCTAGGCTACAGTCTCTTGTCCCCAGTCCCACCATCCCCAACATTAGAGTGACGCTAGGCTCTGCCAGTACAGCGACCTCACCCCTAACTATAATTGTGCCCAGAAATAGAGAGTAGACTTAAGCTGGTGTAATAATAGTATCCTGACTTCCCAGCAACAATTGACTGGGTTAAATATATAGGCACTTGGCTCAAGTGAGCCTAATTAAAATCCTCTCAAAGATCATTGGAGTCATATCTGAGAAACAGCCAGCATTTCTGGTGGCTGATCCTCTACAATATGAAACTCAGGAGACGCCAACAGCTCAAATTTCTTAAACATATAAAAAGTCAAGTTGTAGAAAGAAAACTAGAATGAATATGAAAAGCATCTCTGTGACTGCAGGGAAGGGAATGCTGATGTCATGCGAGTCCCCGTATTCCTGCTTCTTTTATGGACTGCTGATATTTAGCATCAATTAACCAGTATCTTTTCCACAGACAGTCATTTTTATGTCACTCACAGCTTTCTTTTTGTGTGTGTGTTTTGCATTTGTTTTTGCTTAAACTGAGTTTCTGTTATCTGCAACTATAGAACCAATATAATTGGCAATCTGACTTATACCTTTTAGATCATCAGTCTCAGTAGTGGTTGGTCATTCTTCTGCTTAGGCAAGACCCAAATCTATGATCTCTGACTTTGGCCAGGATTCTGATTCTGATTCCTGTTTGCTGCCTTGCTTGATGGTCTGCATTTGTATTCTGTGTTTATCAACTGGATTTAACTGGTTTAGAGGTTTAGGAGTTATATAAATAGAACACTGACATAGTTTTTGATTGAACCATAAAATTTAAAGAAATGTGTTTAAAATCTCAGCCATACTATGGGGTGAAAAGTTGGAAAAATTAATTCCTTTTTTAATACTCTAACAGTTCATGAAGTATTTCCCAATGCCAGACTTTTTTAAAGCCTCTTTGTGAAAAGAGTGTAGATTTCTAATTATTATTGGGCACATTTAGATTTGGATAAAGTAAATCAGCTGAACTATTGTTAAAAACAGCAAGAGTTAACAGTTAAATGTTTTTAATAATTACTGGTAGAACATCAGGATATTTGCAAGTTTACTAGGAAGCATGTGTGAGGGACTCATGCCTGCTGAGATGACGTGAGACTAAGTCTAAAGTTGCTTAATACTGTCATGAGAATATGAAAGAACGGGAAAGGGGCATTAATTTCACAGCCTTCAAAAATCCATTAGTAACAGGGGTAAAAAGAAACAGCATCTTACAAAGATAAAATCGATGAAGTTTTAGAAGAGTAGACAGAACTTACTGTCATTAATTGTAAGGCTTTAACATTTGAGGGTGTTGGGATAAGTTTTCTAAGTTGTCTAACCACAGATTTTGATGTTGTTTGTGGATTTGTGCAATTGGTGACCCAAATTTATATATAAATATCTCTATATATCTCCTATATAATTAAAGCCTAATAGGCTAAGTGTCCAATCGGCCGTTCAATCAATCAAAGCGTAATATGGTAATGATATGCTAAGGCCGCTCAACCGCTCGCTATGACATGCACTGACCACCAGGGGGAAGATGCTCCAACTGGTAGGTTAGCTTGCTGCTGGGGTCCGGTCAATTGGGACTGAGTGAGATGGGCCAGACATGCCCTGAAGCTCTCCCTCAGCCTGGCCTGCCCCCTCTCACAATCCGGGACCCCTTGGAGGATGTTGGAGAGCTGGTTTTGGCCCGATCTCGAAGGCCAGGCTGAGGGACTCCACTGGTGCACGAATTTGTGCACTGGGACTCTAGTATACATATATATGCTTATATCCATGAAAAATAAAATAGTTTAAAAATAAATTGGAGTAAACTGGGAGAAAAGTCTTTGCAATGCATACTAATAACAGAAGACTATATCTAGAACTGTTAGAGAATAAAAACAACCAGCATAACCCAGCATGTGTTTTCTCATACGTATACCCTGGAGATACTCTCGTATAATATAGAAAAGTATACAAGAATATATGTTTTCATAGCCGTCTTAATTACAGTAGGGAAACATCTCCGAACAACTGAAATGCTCATGGACAGGAGAACCTCTGCATGAAAAAGAATGAAATGCAGCTGTGTGTAACAACACAGCTAAACCTCAAAAACGTACCAGAGAAAAAAGAAGTTGTAGAATGATGGGTGGAGTATGATATCATTCATATAAAGCGGTAAACTCTAAACTAATAAACACAGCATATTGTTTTGAGGTACATAGGTAATAAAAATAAACTGACACCATGGGGATTATATTTTGGATGTTTGTGATTTCTGGTGAGGGAGGAAGGGAAATGTGACCACTGAGGAATACATTGGAATTTGAATGTTTTCATTAGCCACTTATTTCTTAGGCTGCATTGTAAGAATGAAGATTATGTTTTTTATATTGCTATGCAATGTTTCACAATAAGAATACCTAAAACAAACAATCCTATATAGTTAAGAGCTAATACGCTAATTAGACCAGACAGCAGAACGACCATCTGCTGGCCATGCAGGCGAAGCCGGGGGCTGCGAGGGCCGAGCCCCTTGCACGAATTTTATGCATTGGGCCTCTAATTACAATTAAATCATGAGAGAAAAATGGGTAAAAGAGGGTTTCCTTTTTTTAGAAACATTGACAACTCAGAAATTTTGTTTAAGCAATGAGGAAGCAAACAAAAGTTGAGGAATATGGTGACTTGCTGAGATGCCAACCTAAGAGTGGTTTAACAAAAGGAATTCTCTGTGTAAGATGCTTTCAAGTATGAAAACAAGTAAAAAACAATTCTAATAGAAAACTCAAGAACAGGACCAGTGCCATTGGGTGAGATTTTTGAATTGCCTAGATCCGTGGTCGGCAAACTGCGGCTCACGAGCCACATGCGGCTCTTTGGCCCCTTGAGTGTGGCTCTTCCACAAAATACCACATGCGGGCGCGCACGTACAGTGCGATTGAAACTTCCTGGCCCATGCGCAGACGTCGGTATTTTGTGAAAGAGCTACACTCAAGGGGCCAAAGAGCTGCATGTGGCTTGCGAGCCGCAGTTTGCCGACCACTGGCCTAGATGCCTTGAGGCTGGGCTTCTGTCTGGGGCAGTCTTCACATACACTTCATTTCTGTTTTATTCTGTTCCTCAAGATACAGACTTCTGGGGTCTCCTAGGACTGGGTTAATTTTCCAGGGCACCCATGCTTGGCAGAGATTGGACTCCTTCCTTTGTTTCTAAAATTTTATGTGTCCGTTACAAGTACTGCCCAGGCTCTCAGCTGCCTCCTACAAGTCAGATATTGCCCTGGGAAGAGTGGCTTTACATGTTGGTCTCACCTCTTCGGATTCTGCCTTCTATCAGAGCTTGACTTAGGTATTCATTATCACCTTGTTAATTCTCAGATGCTTTTATGAAGATTTAAAAAAATATGTTTTCACCAGATTTTATTAGCATTTTTATTAAAAATATCTGAAAGCATAGAAGTGTTACCCAATTCTACATTTTTGAAACAATTCATTTTCTTCTTTTTTATTGTATTTTTTCTAGTGATTTTGTGTAAAAGAGGAAATAGGAGTATATGTTTCAACTACAATTTTCATCAAATTAAAAAAATTAAATGTTTACATAAAATAGAACTTAATTATGTACTTTCCTACAGCTTCCTTTCCTTTAATAAGTTGGTCTTGATGGAGTAAATTGATTTATTCAAAAAGCACTATACTTGGATTCATGGTTTTCTTTTGTAGCACTCTTCCCTAAGTAGTCTTTTTACATTGAATGAATTTACTAATTTCAGTCAGGATTTTTGAGTTGTAAAATAAAAAAAATGAACTAAATTATTTCTAATCTCCAAGCTCTATAATGCTTTAGGTCTACAAATTAAAAAAGGTAGCTACTATTAGTTCTATTATAAAATTGTAACAGCAAACCAGGGGAACAAAGAACCCTCTTTAATGAGGATTTTCATATTTGGTGTTCCTACGTAGGATCAGAATAGTCTTGGTAGGAGAAAGAGTATATTGTTGGATTTCTCTACATTTTAAACGTAACTTAGTATTGATTTTTACATATATATACATACACACACACACACACACTCACACACACACACACACACACACAATAATACGGGAAGCCTTACCCTATCAGTTTTTGAACTGACCATTTTTACTGAAATTAAATATACATGAATATTGATTTATGATATGTAAATATTTTTCTTCCTAATTAGGTCTTGAAATACTGCAAATAGCCATGCCTGAAAACAAGACAGCTTCCTCTTCTCCCTCTGGAGATGATCAAACCAAGAAAGGTAAAGTTATCCGTAAGCGATTTTCTTTGAAAGCAGGTCATAGGTCAGTGATGGCGAACCTTTTGAGCTCGGCGTGTCAGCATTTTGAAAAACCCTAACTTAACTCTGGTGCCGTGACACATAGAGAAATTTTTTGATATTTGCAACCATAGGAAAACAAAGTCTTATATTTTTGATATTTATTTTATATATTTAAATGCCATTTAACAAAGAAAAATCAACCAAGAAGATGAGTTCGTGTGTCACCTCTGTCACGCGTGTCATAGGTTTGCCATCACTGTTAAGTGCAGTTCAGTCGGTCAAGGAAGGAAGCAGCTCCAAAGGCATTAAGGCGTCTTCTCCAGGCTCAGGGGTCACAAACCCAAACTTGCGGGGGCAGGAAGGTGAGGGGAGCGGAAGGAGTGCATCGGTTTAAGAAAAACCCACTGTCCGGATTAGCTAGGAAGTTGAGGATATTTGTATTTCGATGACACGAGATCCAATATTTGGAATGCTGGCACAAATAGTGATCATCAGTTAAAATTAATTTCTGTCTCTTTGGCATCATTGCTCCATTAAGCTCCCCATCCTCCATGCAAAACAACCGACCTCTATAGAGAGCGTTCAGTCCATCAAGCAAAGCACTGACATGTCTATGATCAGGCCTCAGTGTTTGTCACTATGTCTTGGCGGATTTTAAGCTTTTATGCCCAAAGCAATCATTGCTGGCTGAGATACTGAACCTAGTTACCCACCACCCTTCAGATACGTTTGTCATTAACTCTGTCATTAACATCACAAACACACTGTGTGAGGTCTTATTTATTAATTTCTACCAGATATGATTTAACATAATATTTTTCTCAACATCAACATTAAATTCTTTCCTTATGTTGTGTCCATCATCATGAAACTATTGTGGTCGTACCAAAATACTTATCATACTATAAGTAATTGGCCCATAAGTTTTCTTAGTTTGTTCTTGTCGGATGTTCACAATTGAAGTAGAGAATGTTTATTCATTTTCTATTCTCTGAGAAAAATAATATAATATTTTAATTACTTTTCTTGAATGTTTGGCTAAATTTATGTTTTAATTTTTAGGGACATGTTAAACTATTGATATAAAATATTCAGTAGTTATAGGACTATTTAGACTTTCTACTTATTCTTAATTCACTACTGGCAAGTTATAATTTTTTCATTTACAAATTCGGTCATTTGGTTAAATTTTAAATGTATTAATACAATAGTGTTAATAGTGTCTTATTTATATCTCTCTATATATGCAGCTATTCCTCCTTTACATTCATGACATTGGATTTGTTTCTTCCATTTCTATTGTTTTGTCTTGAGCAATTTTGCCAGATGTGTTCATTTGTGTTCACTTTTTCAAAGTAATAATTTATGACCTTTTTAATTATCTCTAGAGTTTTGTTTTTGTTTTGTTTTTTTTGGTTTATTTTCTATTTCATTAACTTCAGGTATTATTACCTCTTCTACTTTCTTTTGGTTCCCGCCCACCCTCCTCAGACACACATATTCTTAATTAGGATGCTCAGATCACTAATTTTTTTAGTGTTTTTAAATTTTCAAATGTAATTATTTAAAGCTACAAATTTCCCTTGACATATTAGGTAAATAATAATAATAATAAAAAAGAATTGGACTGTCATATCACACTTCAATGAAGTAGAGATTTACTCAGTATGAAGCTTTACAATAAAGCACTTATAAGCACTGCTGTGTTTAACTTTAATTCACACACCATAAAAACTTACCTCTCTAGACTGTACAATCCAACGTTTTTAGTATAAGCACAGTATTGTTCGACCATCACCATCATCTAATTCCAGAACACTTTCATAACCCACCAAAGCCCTATAACAGTGGTTCTCAACCTTCCCTAATGCCGCGACCCTTTAATACAGCTCCTCCTGTTGTGGTGACCCCCAACCATAAAATTATTTTCGTTGCTACTTCATCACTGTAATTTTGCTACTGTTATGAATCGTCATGTAAATATCTGATATGCAGGATGTATGTTCATGGTTACAAATTGAACATAATGAAAGCATAGTGATTAATCACAAAAAATTTTTTGTCATTATATATGTGTTTTCCGATGGTCTTAGGCGACCCCTGTGAAAGGGTCGTCCAAAGGGGTCGCGACTCACAGGTTGAGAACCACTGCCCTATAACATTAGCAGTGACCTCCATTCTCCCTCCACCTGCCCCTGGCAACCCCAAATATACCTGCTTTGTGGGAAGATCATGGGCCTGGTGAACAGAGACCAGCTCCTGGCGCAAACCTCTTGCCCTCTGGCTGGCGCCCGCTCGCAGGTGAGCAGGTCAGTAAGCCCTGGCCTCAGAGCGGCCGGAGGCCAAGCACCCAGCCACAGCCCGGGCGGGTGGAGGGGCTGCCATGGGCCAGGCCGGGTGGAGGCCCGGGCGGGTTCCTCCGGGTGCAGGAGAAGCACCTGGCCCGGTGCAGACAGGTGCTCCCGGAGCCCTGCGGGGGCCTCACCTCATGTCT